CATCATCCTTTTCAAAGATAATAAGTCTTCTTGCTTTTAGTCTGAGAATCTCAAAGAGCATTTTGAGCTAAGTTATTTAGAAAGATGACTGCACATTACATTTTAGCTTGGGTAAATATAGGGATGCATTAAAATTAAACTCTGGGTTTGGGTAGATTCTGCGAGTCATTTCAAAGTATCTTCCTTCTGATTCTTAAAAATGGCAAAGTTACAATTCATATTTATGGTATAGAATTCAAGATAAACACAGAGAGAAGAGAAAGCAGCATTTGTTGTGTCATAAGCTCGGGGTAACCTCTATTAACATCTAGCCATGTAGGAAGCACTATGTACACTATAAGCCCTCTTCAGAGCCTGACCTCCCTTTCCTCCACTTGTTAATATACTGCTTCTTCCTATCCTGCCCCCAGATAGTCCGTGACTCACTTCCTTACTCCATTTAAGTTTTTACCCAAATGCCATCCTGTTCTTTAAAACTGCAGCACCCTGCCACCACCCCAGATATCCCTCCTTCCTCCCTCTGTCATTTCTCCTCCGTACTTACTGCTACTTCACATTCAGCTCATATTATCTGTTTATTTCTTAATCATCCCTCTTTTCCTGCTCCAGTGCAGGTTCTAAGGGGCAACATTTCCATTGGTTTTGTGCATTTATCTGTTTGTACCTTCATATGGCAGAGTCTTGGTAACGCCCGGTGCACAGAGGGCACTGAATAAATAAGAGACGACAGAAAGAAATGACACCAGCAGCTTGGTGGCCCTCCTGCTTTCCAGTCTTTGAGTGACTGAAGTCTCTTTGTAAGCAGTGCTATGCTAATGGTTTTCTCTATGTAGCATCATGTTGAAGATTCAACCTAGGCCTTGTTGCAGGGTTTTTTTTTAATTGTTGTTGTTGTTACTTTGTCAAAGGATAAATTACTGAATGTGGATATCCCTTAATGAAAGCCTATAAATACAGTTAAGGATTTGATACCCTTTGCAATATTTTTTCAAGTGATGTGCCCAGTATGATCACACGTGGGTCATTACCTGCTTATTTTAACATGATATTTCCAACTGATGGATGGTGTTTGTAGAAACTCATATAATGACATCTAATGTGAATATTTGATACATATGTGAAAGAGCAAAACAGTAATTCACATCTCTGTCCCCTCGGGTATTTTTTCATTAGTTATTTTAACCCTAGTCTTTTCTTAAAAATAATAGTCTGGTAGAGTTTTAAGTATAGTCTCAATTAGTAATTTATTTAGTTAAGTAGAAGTTGGAAGGATAGAAGATTAATTTTTCTAATATCTTGTCATGCATGTCTAGGGTGTCAAACTTAAGGTTGTCCAGATAGGAAGTAAAAGGACTTTAGTCAGTGTTGTGTATTTCCTTATTCATGGTGGAGCTTGTTTCATCAGGAGAGGTATTGGTGCTATTTTCATGACAATGATGACAGACAACCAGCAGTGGCCATTATTTGCCTTGAGAGTGAACACTCCCCTAAGAGTTCTCAAAAGAGTTAGAGAGAGCAGGAATCCTGGCACTGCGTGTTAAGGCCTCTGTGACAGTCTTTCTTTGGGTCTGTGACTATTCTGAGGTCTTGTGCCATTTCACATTCTGTCCCCTCTCCATGTGACAGTATTTCAGGAGCTACCACACTCCATGAACCTTGAAAGATCTGGTGATTTACATAGGAGTATCTGGATCCATGAGTCTGGCAAGCTACCTTTGTCACAGAAAAGACAGGAGCTGGGCAGAATGCAGAAAAGCTTCATTCCTTAGAGAAGCCGCATGTTCCTGTTTTTAGTTTTGAACAGAGGGAGCCCATAGGTTGAAAAGACTGAGAAGGTCATTCATTGGCTGAGTAAGGTTTGTTTTTTTGCTCTGTAACATCACAGCACTTTCTGGGGGTTTTCAAGGGACTGCTCAGCTAAGCATCTGGTGATAACATAGGTTCCTCATCTGGTTCATTTCATGTCCTCACAAGATGCCCACGAGCTCTCTCCCTCCATTTTCAGATGCATGTGGGGCCTCTGCCACTGTGACACTCAAAGGCGCTTCTGTCTACTAAAGGATGGGGGACATGCTTGAAACATAAACTTAAAATTCCTTGGAGTTCAAAGGACAAGGAGCCCTTTCTCCCATTGAAGCAAGAGGGGAAGTATTGATTATTGCAACAGTGACAGAAGATTTTGTCATAGACTTTCCTCCAAGTGAGCTCTCTAGTTGCACAGTTCAGCTTGTTAGGACCACTTACCATTTTCACTCTCTGAGGCATTCATTGCCACTATCCCTGTGATAACACACATTTTGTTGGTTTATCACATGTCTAGCATTGAGTATATTTGTCTATTGGATGTTAATCTATACATCAGAATTATGGTGTACAGATAATGACAAAGAGTTGCTCTATTCTTCATTACAGTTCCTACAGCTAGTGCATTCCTCCTGACCCCCTCCCGCACAGAGCATTCCCCTCCAATCCCTCCCCTTCAGTGCCCATTCCATCTCCATATTAGCATGAGTCCCAGTATAGAATGTCACAACCAAACCTGGGTGGTTGAACTTACTAAACCGAAACCTTGGTTGTAGTCAGTGATTTATAGTTACAAAGTTAACAGCTGGATTCTTAAGAAACTGCATCATCTTGCTTAGAATGAGGTTCTTAGTTGTTCTCACATTATTTCTTTGTTAAAGCAATCAGTTTTTTTCTCTTTCCTTCTGGGGTTACTTCCAGCCTGTGTGTCTCTATGTTTAAGTTCTTATATTGAAACAGGGTAAAGGAGAATGTACTTTGAAGAGTCCTCAGAGCAGAGTTGTACCTTTATGTTTTAAATTATTTTGGTGACATTTTGGTTTATTCATATGTGTTTTATGGACCTTTTTATTCACCCTTTATGATAAGGATACCAAGAGCTCAGGCAGCTTTGATAATGTCTGATGGTCTGATAATTTGAAATTCCATGTAGAATCTTGTGAATTACAGAGTGCCAATCCTTACTGCATTAAAGAGGGGGAGAAGAAGACAGGCCCAGAGAGAACACTAGAATCTAAACTTAGGTTGGGAACATCAACCTAGCCATGGCTTCATGACTTAATATCTTGTGCACTTTTTTTTTCATTCATTCTGATTTAAGGTAGAAGAGGTTTTGGTTGTGGTGCATTTTCCTTAAGAGTTAATGAATACTTTCCATGAGATGTGTAGGCATCCCAGGATTTCTCCATTTTAGGTGCATGTGGAGTCCCTTAGCTTTAAAGAAACATTGATGCCACTCATTTTATTCAATCCTCAGGATTGTCATCCAATCAAATCTGTAGGAGAGTAGTTTGGACATGCATAGGCTTGATGGCATTCTTACAGATTCCAGGGCATAGACCAGGGGTAGTGGAGATGTTAGAACTTTTCAAGTTATAACTCTAAAATAATAAGGAAAAAGCATGTTGCAGAATTGTTCATCAGAAGTGTCACAGACATAAGAAATCCCTATGTGACAGGAGTTTGGGACCTTTCTAATCCTGGGGTTTGCAGAACACAGTAAAACTTGGACTATGGTCCAGGACCAAATGCCACTGGAATTACCTTGGCTTTTTAGAAGATCAATCATTGGTCTTTCCACAGAACTACTACATTGAGTGTCTATGGGAGTACCTGCCATTCGTCTGAATTTTACAACACCTCTCTGAGATGCTGATGACTGCTACCTTTGACAGCATTTGAGCAGGGTTATGTCATGACTTGGGGGTGGGGGTGAAGATAGCCTGGTAAACTGAATGGCTCTAGAGACATTTTCCTTGGCTGCTGTGGCAGGAGTTAGGTAGATCTGATAGCTCATAGCTGTTTTTCCCAGTGTAGCAATTAAAGGCAATGTCCACCATTTGTTTGCGGTCCCAGTAGGCTGCCATCATTCACATGATACCCTTTTCCAGTCTTAAACTTTCTTTCCCCCCAGATACCTAAGTTATTACATTGTTATATTATCTAAACATTAATATTATTTGCTTGTGGAATTTGATTCCCATAGCTACCTAGCAGGTGACAAGGTGAAAAGCAAGGAAGAGCCACTTACATGTAAAGAATACTTTTAAATGAAGCATCAAAACTGCATTTTAAAGGGAGGGCAGAAATGATTTTTAAAATGGTAAAAATCAAAAACAAAACAAATCCAATGTTTTTTTTTTCCTAGTAAAACTTATTTTTAAACCTTTTAAAATATTTTATAATATGGCCATACAGCTTTAGATGTTTGCTTCCCACATCAGTAGTTACATATGCCTGTAGCCCGAGCCTTCTTGATGACTGTATTAGATATCTAGATCATCTGGTTTCTCTATAAGTGTCCCCTCTTCCGTTCTCTGGCCACTTATATGCACAGTGAAAGCTAGACTCCTCCGTGGCTGTGTGTCACATAAAGTTTTTTATGACCTAGTTAGTTTTTCTTACCTGCAGTGTTATTTGGAGTCTCACGATTTTGCTATGTTGTAGATGATTTTATTCAACATGACTTATGTGCAGGTATTCTCCTGTCTTGCTGCCTGGAATGGGCTTGCTGTGCCAATGTTCAAGGCGATGATAGTACAGCTTCCCCTTTCCCTACCTGAATGTAAGCTGTATTTTATGTTAACTTCCAAAAATATGTCCTCATAAAATGAACTTCTGTTTCTTTTACATGTGTACAGATCTTTTCTTCTGCTGCTTGGTTAGGGTTTTTATTAATGCCATTTATCAATTCTAATACAATTCTGTGTCCCTAATCTTTATTCTACAAAGTCTTTGAGTTTATTTAATGTACTTGACCTCTGTAGAGTAACTTTGAAATATGTAATCTAGTCTTTTATCCCATGAATGCTAAGGCTAATAATTAATCCAACATTATCTAAGTAAGGGTCATTTTCTATATAACTTGAACAAGTGAGTCTAAAATGATGACAATTGAGTTTCATCAAAAGTATCTTTTATAAAGTACTATAAAGTCTCAGACCTGTTAACTTCTCATGTGTACTTCTTTTCTGTAGGTGATTTTCTCCCACCTCCACCTCCACCATTAGAGGATCCTGGTACTATTCCACCTGGCCCTGGACACTTCCCTCCTCCTCCAACACTGGATGAAGGTGCTTTCAAAGTGCAGGTAAGAGCAGTGGTAGAAGTCAGGTCGTTAAGCCATGGTAGGAGGCCTGTGAATGGTTTCTGTGGTTCATAAGCATTTACCCAGTGTATAGAGAGGGCTTTGCAACTCACTGGGACAGGGACTTACAGTTCTTTAATGCAAAGGGGCCAAGCCACATGTGTCAATTTGAAGCCCTGGTCAATTTTTACCTACCCATTTATTTGAAAACCAAAGGTGGTTTCTTTCTTTTTTCTTTTCTTTCTTTTTTTTTTGGTATAAAGCCAGGCCTTTACATTTAAGTTATGGATTCTATATGAGTAAGAGTAATAGTTAAGGGTCTGCTTGATCAATTTGAACCCTGAATGGACAGCAACCTGCTTTTACCAAAGCAATAGTAAGACACTGTAGGGCCTTCTCTTTTAGGTGTCTTTGAAGAAGAATGTTACAGATGTGTGTCATTGATATGTAATCATTATGTCCTGGAGAGCATATGTTGCAAAGTAACTAACTCCAGATCAGTGCACAAATGACAAGAGAACTATTTTGCTCTGATGTAAGATGACTTGTGACCAGCAGCACCACTTAAGGCTGAAGACATCATGTCCGGAAAAAAACATTATAACATCATAGACATTGTCATTCTTGGATAAGATGATGTTAATATAACTACACTGGAGACAAAAATCAAGAACTTGTCTTAGAGAAATGCTCATTTTCAGATGAGGTAGAAGAGTGTCTGATATTAGCTTATCTCAAGGAGGCATCAGAATCTTGTTAGTTATAGCACAGAGACATTGTGTTAATGTTGGTGACTGCTCTGGACTTTATTCCTTTGTTTGCTTTGCCTTGGAATATATCCCCAGTGTCCCATATGGAATGTGACAGAGGAGAACTGCCTAAACTCTCATCTGTTGAGTTCTATCTTTTGAAGGTTAAGGTGGGAGAGCAAAACAGAAATTATTCAATTATTTCCCAAATAGGCTTTGTTCCTATGTAGATATTATTTGTGCACTGGAAGTCCTATAATATAGAAGGCAAACATAGATTACATGCCATGGAACTTGTAAGTAAGTAGCGTACAATCAGTGTTCATAAGGCTGGGGTAATGCTAGACAGTCAGGCACAGGTGACTTGATGAGAGAACCCTCATCAGGACAGTTCCACTCAGCAAAGGCTTACAGGAGAAAAAACATCATGAGCCAGATAGATTCCTGAAAAAGTATATGTTCATAAGGTTTGGTCCTGTTTTAATAAACTTAATTTTGTTGTCTGCTTTAGTATTCCTTGTTTTTCTGTTGTGGTGTGTCTTAATGTATTGATTAATGGGCATAATTTTAAAATTCTCTTTTGTTTTCATTCTTGCATTCTTATTAAGTCTATTGTGATATATTTTGAATATTTGCTACTCCAAGGTTTGGCTGAATGTCGGCTGCTTAAAAAGTAATTGAGAAGTGTGTCCTAAATTAGGGATGGTGGGCAGATCACACTGAGTGCTGGCTATGCTTGCCGTTCAAAAGGTAACCATACCTTAAAACATTATAGCACACTGATGTATCTGAAAGGTCTAATAGAGATAGCTAGAAGATATTTTGATATTCCTGCCAATATTGTGCAAAGCAAGTGATAACAATGATAATAAAGTTAACCTAGATGCTGGGTGAAGCTAATAATCACAGTAACAATAGAGTCTTGTCTGTGGATTCCATTTAAAGGTCGTCCAACCCATGAACATAGTGTCTTTACATTCACTGATCCTTGCTTTACTTTGGTCCATGTTGCATAATTTTCTTTGTGAACATCTTTTACATCATTTAAAAACTGTATTTCAGTTTATGTTTTTGTAGCTATTGTGAATATGACTTTTTTCTTGATTTATTTTTCAGAGAGTTGGCTTTTAATGTAAATAAATAACCTGTTTATTCTTATATGTAGATTTGATATCATGCAATTTTATTGAATCTATGTTTTAATTCAATATGATTTCTACAGTTTTAGTGTTGTCTCTGTGTTTGATTACACTGTCTGAAAACAGGGACTATTCATTTTCCTTCTTTTCCAGTCTGTACCCTTTTTAATTCTTGGTTTTGCCTGATTACCCTGGTAGGACTTCCAGTTCTATGCTGAATAGAAGCAGTGAAAGTGGCTTCCTTGTGCTGTTCATGGGGCTTTCATGAAAATGACAAAAAGTCTCTTTCTCTGTGGACTTTGTTCTGATAAATGGACTCAAGCCATGGCTTTGTTTTTGAAGAGGAAGGAAATAAACAAGAAGCCTGTTGCCATGTTGGCTTGTGTTCTCTGTAAAACAGAAGGGAGGATGATAAAAAATAAAGCAGTGTTTGCCAAATGGAAAAGGACAAATCTGGTAGGGAGAGAGTGTTGTTTTTGAGGCTCTTCCTATGGCATTCTTGGTAACTTAAAATTGATGTCTCATCCGGCTCTCAGGCAGTAGTGAGCTGGATGTGATAGTAGTTGACCCTGCTCCAACTGTGCATCAGCACCTTTAGACTGAGCTCAGGGTGGCTGAGTCTGATCCCTGGGAACAATTTTTCACTTTTTTCCTCTCAGCTCTGGTAAAACCTCATCTTGCCAATTCCAAATCAAAATTGGTAAATGTGTGTTTTGTGTAGAAGTCTGTTTATATTTCCAGCCAGACTTTCAGCCCAGAGCCAGAAGACTGCCTACTATGTGGGACTTTTACAGGACTGAAACAGACCACTTCTGTGGTCATTGACTTCAATTTGATAATCAGGCTTCTAGATACAGCACCAGCTGAAGGAAACAGTTTCCAACCCTGTTTTGAAATGGGGAGACTGAGACCTAAAGAGATGTTTGTAGGTACAGTGGTTCTAACAGTACTCTCATCAGAAAGTCTTCCCTCCTGGCCATAAGTCCCCCCATCCCTGCAGGTGATTGTTTTTGTATTCTGTTTGTCTTGTCTTAGCCCTCTGTCTAGCTATAAGGCTCCCTGACACAACTGCTAAGAACAGGTACTGTTGCAGTTTTGCTTGGCTCTTTACATTTTTGATATATGCTCTATAAATTTCTGTACCAAAGCAAATAAATATTTAGCATAAAGGGTTATTCTTCTTTTGAAACTTCACATTTTTAATGGTAGAGATGAATCTTTGAAGACAAATGAGAGAGTTGGTTTTCTTTTCCAGAATCAATTTTTACTTTTATGCCTGTGAAGTTTGCACCAGCCTCTTAATAGTTCCTTCATTCATTTCTTCTTCCTCATTCAAAGGAAACTGAATACACTTGTACAGCATTGCTTATCACTTTTATGAGTGGACAGAATATCTTTCTTAAGGTATTTTGAAATATGCTTTAAAGGGTCTTATATTCCTGGGACTTGGACATATACTTTTTAGGTCTTTATATTGTTTTAATCAGTAGAGTTTAATTAATTAGCTAATTAATTAATTAATTCATACTGACTGAAGTTGCCCCTCCCTCCTCTCCCACTGACTCATCCTTTATACCTCCTCTCTTACCCCCTTCCCCTTTGCATATCTCCTCAGTTTCTCTTCTGTAAATAGTAGGCCTCCTATGGCTGTCAAGCAGCTATGGCATATATCTCCTATTAAGGCTGGACAAAGCAAAGAGGATAAGGTCCCAAAAGCAAGGAACAAAGTCAGAGACAGACCTTGCTCCCACTGTTAGGAGTCCCCCAAAACAATCAAGGTATACAACTCTAACATGGGCCTTGGTCAGATCCATGCAGATGCAGACTCCCTGGTTGGTGGTTCAGTCTCTATGTGCCCCTATGAGTCTAGATTAGTTGATTCTGTGGAGTTTCTCTTGGTGTCCTTGACTCCTGGATCCTAAATCTTTGTTCCACTTTTTCCACGGGGATTTTATTCTTTTTTTTTTTAATGTAAGAAAAAGGTTATAGATACAGTGAGGAAATGGTGAAGAGATAGAGAAGATTCAACACACACACAAATACACACATACATACCCACATGCATGCGTGCACACACACACACACACACACACACACACACACACACACACACACTACAAGGAGGGGCCAAACATATGCAGATAGTTGCTTGGTAGGCTTCACAAGCTCCTCGGGGACTTACCTGGCCCTCTCTATGACACTGTGGCTTGAACTTTTCATGACCTCCAGTAAACCACCTTTGACGTGGTCTGGCCCTGCAGCTTGCTTTTGCTTGCCTGTTGTTCAGCAGTTGCGATCCTCTGGCTGGCTTTTCTCTGTTTGTGTTACTTAGGCCAGATGATTATGTGTGCTTGTCACAATTTAATTTCTCTATGGCAAAATATATTTTTTCCAACACTGTTTGTTTCAACTGTTAAAATATTCATATTGAAATGGAATGTTTTCTTTTAATATTTAGTGCTTTTCTTCCTAAACTTTTGGAAAATGATACACAGATGGATACCTGGGGCTGGAGAGAGAGGGAAGGAGGGAGGGAGAGAGAGAGAGACAGAGAAAGAGAGAGCACGCGAGAGAGACACAGAGAGAGACAGAGAGAGACAGAGAGAAGGGGAGAGGGACAGACAGAGGGGGAATTGATTCAGTATCCCACAAAGAGCTGATCAACAAAGCAGCAAAGCTGTGGAAAGAGGCTGCCATTTCTAAGGATAAAATGAACACAGTATCGTGAACAATGAAGAACCCCAATTCATGTCTGAAAGACCAGTTATGATGCCTTTAAACAAACTCACCTTTTTTGAAAAGAATTTGCAGCCAATATATATGCATGATGGATAATAATCACCTTCCTGTTTACCCATTGTGCCTATTTTTAGGCGTAATGACCTCAGGTCCACAACTGTGCCCACTTTGATTTGTGAGCCCACAGTAACCACGAGCTCCCTGGATCATATTTGGATGGATCTTATCACAGAGGTTGCCTTTACCACTGCCTGTGAAAATGATGAGGGAAGAGGACACTGATGTGGAAGCACATTTATGCCACTGAGCCTGAGAATGTGGTAGTGCGAAGTGCTGCTGTGGGATTATGAATGGACAGGGCAGCTCACTCTGAGCC